CAAATTTTATTGGGTTTCCCCATCTTCAGCGAAACGAATACATACATCCCATGGACCTACGTCTGATTCTGATTTGACGATAACTTTATTGAAATATTTACAGGCAACATACAGAGCTCATCTCATTCCGCGCTGCGGGTATTTAGTTAATAAGTTCACACATGTTATTGTTTTTGTTTTATAAAAAAAAGCATTAAACCGGATTCAACTAGTACTGATCTTGCTGACGTAGTGGAATATGACGTAATTGAGTATGTCGTAGTTGTCGTCATGTGTTCATTGATGACGTAATTTGGTATGTTTCAAGTATGAGTAGCCTAAAGCAGGCTGTAGACTGTAAATAGTGGTGTATCTTGTGGGCTGTAGAGTGTAGCATCTGCTAGTCTTGACTCTCTCTACTAGAGGAAGAGAGAGAAATAGAGTGAGGTCAACTTCATCCGGTGTTATATTATCAAAGTCTCGCCTCTGTACTACAGTACAATATACTTCATACAATGTATTTATGTACACGCGTACGCGTTGACCATGCGATGTTGAGTCGACCGCGTTTGCCGTTTCGCCGTCCTATACTTGAACCGCAAAGGTTAGGATTGTTCATTGCCAATTCGATGAGACGACGAGAGTATGGCGCTTCGGTTAATAAACAAGTCGGCGAGCGCACTAAATTGAACAACCTATCTGTTGTTGATCTAGGCTGTCTGGTATGTAAAATCACCAGGCGTACCACTCATATTCGATAGGGCTGTGTGGGCTTTCTTTTTTTACCTCCTGACTTATGTCTCAAAAGACAACGGTGATATGCCTAGTGGAAACTCATAAATGTTCCATCTGACTGTTTCACTAAAAATCCGACGCAACATGTTGTGTGTGTGTGCGAGAACGGCCTATTGATCGCAGTGATTGTGCGCGCATCTTCGTAGCATCAGGGCCAGATACACAGTTAGGATTCCCCTTTACTTGTATCTGTACAAATAATCACATCACGAGAATGTGTTATATTCGGCTCCATATTTGATATGAATTGCCATTGTATTTATGTTTATTGGCTTCTTATTTGATGTATATTGGCTTCTTATTGAATTAATGTATATTGAACATTGAAAGTTTAAAGCTGAAAATGTGAAGAGGATTGTGCAACAAATTGAGCTGTATTTGTGAACGAATAGGCAAAAAATATACAGTTGTAGTTGTACAGCTTTCGTATATACATATTTGTTTGATACTTGCTATCCTATATTTTTTTATTAATACTACTTATTTGTGTACCAGCTTATCATGGATAAAGTTGATACGAACTTGTCAGAACTCTAGACTTCTCCACATTCTCACTCTGTCGATTACACTACCCTCACGCATACAGTCGCTTTCCATCCTGGCAGGTCCTCGAGGCAACAGACCCAACTATGAAAGTACAATACACACAAGTTGCGAAGGAGAAACTTGATAAACTCTACGAATCACCTACAGATGCCGCTACCAGGGTATTGACCTATATGTATATATATATATATATATGAATATATATATACATATATCTATACACACACAAACATACACATACATACACACTCACATACACACACACACACATATATATATATATATATATATATATACCCTTTGTCATGCCGATGAAGTCTGTGACTACTTCATACCTATCCGCTATTGACCGCCGCTCACTTTATAAACCTCTATGTTTGTTTATATTATATGTTCGTTAATATGTAGGTATATATGTTTATTTATCATGTATTTGACCTGACTGTTCATCTATTGTCCACCCCGACTACATACCTACGCTTACAGCAGACGCTTGGGGTCACGAGTGCCTACACAGTGCCACCCATCGGCGTACCGATTCGTCCCGCTTTATTCGAACCAAAGGATATGCCCAGCACACGTGGTAGCGGGGCTACACTGGCACAGAACATACTGCATAACTTGGCACACATTGAGTTCAATGCAATGAATATGTATTGGGATACCGCTCTGCGTTTCCAGGGTTTTGTCAAGGAGAGTTCCGTGCCGACGAAACGGGCCGCACCAGGTATCGACTATTCTTATGCAATCCCATGTGGACATGTATATACTATATTTGTGTATGTACTTATATTCGTATACTATATCTGTGTATTTACTTTACTTGTATACTTATTTTTTTAACGTTTTCTATATGTTTACTTGATGTGTGTATGTACTTTACAGGTATATTGTATTTGTGTATATACTTTATTCGAATACTTTATTTGTGTAATTACTTTATTCGTATACTTTCTTTGTATATATGCTTTACTTGTACGCTTATTTTCTTACGCACTCTATGTGTATTTTATTTGTGTATGTACTTCACAGGTACTGTTAGTGTATGTATTGTATATGATAGATTGCTTTTCCAGTGATACTGGCAAGGAGGTTGTCCTTTGTATTGTAAATGCTACGCAGATACATGTATATAGAATTTAGCTGAGAATGCCAAACAAAAGTCAAAGTGTATCCAGTATTGCAGACCGCCTCACACTTGCATAGT